TGTGTGTTTGGTTTTTAACATACTTGCTCCATAATAAAATCATTATCCTGTGAATTAACAGAAGAGTTTGATTTTAAGACCAGACAGTCTGCAGCTCCTCCAAAGCAGTGCAGGAGGGAGTGTATGCACGCACATGTACTCACACACACAACACATATGCCTTGTGTAGCTTGTTACAGTGCTAGGAGGAAGAAAACCAAACAAAACCAGTCACTTTCCACAGATATCTAAGAAAAATGCAGTATCAGTGAGGTATGGAAATGGGAAGAGAGGAACCAAAAGTCAAGTGTCTCTGGTGAAATATCCTTTCCGTCTGTTACAAATCTTCTGCTCAGTTATTGGGAAAATTAAAATGCTTTTACAGCGTAATCACTACAACTCTTGCATCAGATGTTACTCTCCACCCCTCCCCATTAACTGTTCTTATGTATTCAAAGAATTGGTTTTTAACTAATACCTTGGACTCTGAGATAATTTCCCAGTTACAGAGCTACAGTAATACAATCTTTTCCCATTTTTAAGGCTAGTTAATTAAGCTCAGTATGCTTTAAGTTTCAGGGTGCAATTCTCTATGTTGTCCTTAAGAAAGAAGTGGGAAGTTACAAATGATGAAGCAAGCCGTTTCCCCAAAAGTCTGCTCTTATTTTTTGGCTCTCTGTGAGGGCAAAGGTTTTTGTCCACTTGCCTTTTATTTCTCTTCACCCCAGGATTTCCCCATTTTACTGCCACCACCATCACTTTACTCCCCTTCCTCTCATATTTCTCAAATGTACAAATTGAAACAACTAGCATTCCAGGCAGTGGCTAGGGGTTGCACAAGCACTCCATTAACTTCATAAAAATAATTCCTTTGAACAGAGATTTTTTTTTTTAAGGTAAGATCATGGGAAAACATGATTTTAAAAAATTAAACTTGGAGATTCAGAATAAAAAAGCAGACCTTTAGACTAAATCCTGCTTGCACCACTCAGGTGGGTCACCCCAGTAGTGAGAAAGCAAAATTAGACCCAAGATTCTGCTCTTTTTTTTTTTTTTATAATGGAGTAACACTAGTATGTCTTTTACTTTGACCAAAGCTGGTTTGCAGCAGTCTAAAGGACAGGGCAATTAAACCTGTAACAGTTAAGTTACACAAGTATGCAGTATTACTCACTGACATGATGCTCTCATATCTTGCAGTACTTGATGCATTACTTAATGCATCAAGTCCTGAACTTATGTATTTCAATTTTCATTTTTAGAAACGTTTCCAGCCCCCATGGCTGCAAGAACACATTGAAAACATTAGCTGAGAATATCCTCTTCCCTGCCTTTGCCCCTCTCCCTCTTCCCCCTCACCCCCCAAAAAAAGAAAAATTACAAAGAATATCATGACTTCACAAGGGCCTGAATCATGATCTTTTGAATGTTTAGGGATGGCAAAAAACAATCAAGTGTACTGAGAAGGTTTCAAGTTTTAGAAAAGGCTTAAAAGAAAGGCTCATTCTATTATCATTTATGAAGCCCTACAACATGTTTGCACACAGGTAAAAGCAAAAAAAGTTTTTGTTATTATCTATAGAATACAATGTACCAGCATTTTCCAACTTCTTGCATCAGAGCTGCCCTAGAAACCTAACCAAACTGCTGCCTGAACAGAGCTATGCTGCTCATAACTACGTCCATAAAATCCGTCCCAGTTCCCAAAAGGCTGACATTTTGCCTTAGGTTCTGCCCTGCTAGAGAAGAAGGAGCTGTCCTCTTCTGAGGTCAGTAAAAGTACATGTGTACCTGAAAACACTTCCAATAGAAAACAGCCTGCAGTGAGAACAGTGTCTTCTTGTTACCAATGTGTTGCTATGGGCACTATTTCCAAGAAAACAATCAAAAGAACAGAACAGGAAAATATGGGACGGCATATCAGGGGAGAAAGACAAAGAAGGCGCCTGGACTAAACTGATCATGCCCACCAATGCTAGAACAAAGGATAAAATTTTCAATCGCCCCTAACTGTTCTGAAGCAATTTAATCTACGCAACTATGAACAGCAAACCAGGGGGATTTGTGCTCCTAAATCACTTGAGCATGTTTGAAAATGCCACCCAGCATTCTTTAAATACTGAGAAATGTGAACAAAACCCAGTGAACAGACACAAGTAATTAGATACTTTAAAAAGAGTCATCTGTAGCATTTTATTACTTTTTGTGTATTTATATTTAGTGACGATAAAAAAGCCTCAGCTAGTTTCAGAGCCCTGGTGACTGAACAGGCTACAGTATAACACACATAATGGCATCAGAAACTTCCCCACTGCACCCCTCAGTTATGTGGTGTAGTTCTATTTAGAAGGAACACTGTCTGGCTACGGACAGAAATTACACATAAACCAGTGCAAGTGATTGGAAACAAATTCAAGTCTGTAACACAACAGAAGTTCAGTGCACATAAACCACTTTCCAAATGGCCAAAACTGGTTTAAGATGAACCTGGATGGACGCAGTATCAGATTTAACTGATTTAGGCCATGATTTCTGAAATCACCCAAATGGTACAATCAGCACAGTGATATTGCTTTGTAGCTCCATTGACCAGACACAAAATCCAATGGACTGATGGGGAGGTGAACATAAAAGGATTCTGTCCCAGATTCCCTCCAGATTCAAGCTAACTCTCAGTCCCCCAGCCTCCCAGGATGCTTTGAATCTCCCCTGCAAACCTCCCCCATACAGGGTGAGTGGGCTACCCTTGGCTCACACTGTCTGCCAGCTATGGTTGCCAACCATCCAGGATTGCCCTGGAGTCTCCAGGAATTAGATATAAATCTCCAGGATACTGCCAAGAGTCACCCGGGAGATAAATGATAGGGCATTCATTAAAATAAATATTACATGTTGAATCCAATTTATACAGTAGTCCAGTGGGTTTTTAAAATGTAATAGTAATGTTCATTTACCTTCCTGATGTAAAGTCTATGCACTGTAATCCATAACTGATATACGCAAGCACACGGACATATTTGCATTTTGTGTCACAGGCACGTTGGCTTTCTGGAAACCCCCTTAATAAAAAACAGTTGGCAACTCTAGCTCCAGCCGATCATGGAGGCATGCTCTAGCCCCCAGCCTCCACCCGCTTCCAGCCTGAGCACTGCAGGCATGTGGTTGCATTTCCGGAATCAAAAGTGAATGTCTGTTTACTTGCTTATCAGTTTAATCTATGCAGCTTATACTAACCTGCAAAGATTGAACTGATCCAGCCTCAGGCTTTTTACTGTCTGAACTTAGCCTCTGGGGTTAGTTTCTAGCAGCATTTTTGCTGGAAGTGTTAGCAGGGGACTACATGTAGCAGAGCTTTGTTACCAAAAGCCATGAAATAAGTCGCTTCAGCTCTCCAAGGTAACTTCAAACCACAGCAGTAAAAGGTGGATAATTCTCTCTCATTACCTATTGCCACTATCCTACCCTCTTTAGGTGGTCCACTCCCTATACAAACCACCCTTATGTGATGTTCAAGTCACGATCTTTAAAAATCTCTTTTGGTGGAAATAGGGTTTCTTCACAGAATTTGAATTTCCCCCTTCATGTTCCAGTTTGTGCCCTTGAAAATCTGGCCTGGACAGAGGAGTTCTCAAATTCTTTTCAAAATGTGCTTCGGAAATCTCAGGCATGCACGGGAGAGATTTTGATTTAAGACTCCCCCTGGCTAAAAAATGGCAGCCTTACATGATAAGCACAAGTTGACAGCTTTTACTGAAATCAAACAGTTTAAAGACAAAGTGTTTCTTTTGTTTAAAACATGTTTTTAAATTTGAGTACGTGCATTCTCCTCTTCCTCCACCCCAAAAAAAAAAAAAAAAAAAAAAAAGACCAATTCAGCTGCACCTGTACACTTGCAAATTTGATTTATGACTATGGGCAGTTTCTACCCTCTTTGCTTTGATGCTTCTCCAATTCTATTGATTTATTCCTAGCATAGATAAGAATTTGGCCCTGACTGCATCACTGGGGTCATAAATACCACTCAGTTTTATTTATTTTTTAATAAATTTAAAATAAGTGAATCGAGTACAATCATAAATTAGAACAATGACAACATAGCATGATTATATCACCACTACATAAGTCACACTGGAGAGAATCACAGTTCAGGGTATAATGACGCTATTATATAGGAACCAGGTGACCTAAGACCCTCAAAGCAGATATCTAACATAACATGTAACATCAGACTCTGGTTAGTGACTGCTACAATTGGACAGGCTCAGACAAACACTGCAGCCTGGAAGCTTCAAACGGTCCCAGCTCTCATGTAGATTTGAAGTCGAACTTTACTACGGTCCTCCAGTTACTGCACTCCACATCGTACCCCCAGGCTGTACCCTCACTCACTATAGTAGGAGGAAGAGCAGGGAGCATCTTTGATTACTCTGCTGTGATCTGCATCTCCTCTGGAGGATTTATAACAACTGGCATGCTCTGATGAGAAAAGCTAACTACCTTACTTCATCCACCCCTCTGTAACTGAGGACACCTGGGGGCAAGTGAGTTAGTTTGTTATGCAGCCACTGGGAAAGTATTATTTAATGGTATATAACTTCAATTACTTGGAGCAGTCAATGTTACATGCTTGAACATAAATATGTTCAATCAGCAAAAAAAAAAAAAACAACAACCCCCCCGAAACCACTCAAAACAAACCAGTCAGGGCTAGTTAACGTAATCCGCTCTGTTCATGTAACTAGGCTTGTTCAACTAAGGGCATGAACTTTCTTGGAAAAGCTCAAGTAAATAGCTGCAGAAGCTTACACCCTTTTTTCCCCTTCTGGTTCATTTTGTCCTTCAATCAGTGCTTCAGAGGTGGCTGCTTATTATATTGTCTCATCACAAATGGTGAGTGTCACTTGTTTGTTCCACAGGAAGTTGTACAGAGCGCTGCTATCAGTAAATATAGGATCCCCTCCTCCTCCCCCCACACCTGTTTTCATCATTCTTGGAGAGATACCAATCAAAACTTTTCTTACCTGGCGAAAAAACAGCAAGTTTCCAATGAAAGGCAAAGGTGGAGGATGTCTGACCCCCACCCTCTTCAGCCTGGAGTAGGCAGAAATGGAGTACCTGGGAAAAGGGGGAAATACGGCAAGAAGTCAATTTTGTATCTCATTGTTACATAGTTTTCCAAAATAAATTAGATCAAACAGAATCCCTCGAATCAGAGTGGGAGGACATGCTTTCTGAAATGAGCCAAATGGCACAATCAGCACAGTGATATTGCTTTGTAGCTCCATTGACCAGACACACTTGCAAAATCCAGTGGACAGAGGGGGAGGTAAACATAAAAGGATCCTTCAGCACAGCAAATCCAGGTCTGGATTCTCCTTTAATACACCAGTGTAAACCCTTCCTTGTATTCAGGTGTAAATATAAGTGAGATCAAAATAGAAACTGCATTCTGACTGTGGTGGCATAAGGAGAGGGGCACAAGAAGGAAGGTCAGTTGTTGCATCCCTTCCCTTACTGCCATCTACCTAGCAAATCAGAGCAAGAACTCAAACTGGTTTCCATTGTGCCTGAGCCAAGATACTGTCAGTATCTTCAGTGTGATATGCCTACTGAGCCAGATGTGCTGATTAAGTCATTTCCCAGCTGTTAGTCAGAAAATTAAAACAAGATAAAATATAGAGCTGAAAACCAGCTGAAAAACTGCACATGTATCTAGTGCCAAATGATGCTACTGTGTATTACCAGGCACAACATTTGAAACCTTTCTGCCAAAATTAATTAAAAAAAAAAAGGAATACTGATTTTAAATTGGGGGGGGGGGGGGTGAGTGTGAACAATAATTATGTTTAGCCAAATAGCCGATCAAGATTTTGTCAAATAATATATCAGTCCAAGAACATGAAGCGATATATGCTGAAGTTAACAGAAAGACTCCCACTAACTCCAATAAGCTGTGCGCCCAGTGTGCTTGCACATGTGATGGGTGTTTAGTCCTTCAGGGTTGCATTCTATGCCCCCTAAACTAAAGCGGTGGGTTTTTAATTGAAACGGTGGGTTTTATTTTTCCGTTACTGTATACATGTTATTTTCCTGGCAGGCGCAGGTCCCTGCTGAAGACAGAAGCAGTGAGGGGCCCAATCCTTCTTTTTTTTGCCTCTCCCGTGGTTGGGAGGCAAGCTGTCGGCAGACTGAGTGGCTGCTGAGCTGCAAGGGGCCCTGGTCTTTCCCTCCGCTGTGGCTGCACCCCCCTGGGGCCACCCAGGCAGGCTGCTAACGGGCTAGGAGCTACCCCAGCTCAGAGGCGGCCAATCCAACTCTTCCCTGAGCCCACCTGAGCTTCTAGCACCCCATGATTTAGACTAGACATTAGGAAGAACTTCTTCACAGTTAGAGTGGCCAAGGTCTGGAATAGGCTCCCAAGGGAGGTGGTGCTCTCCCCTACCCTGGGGGTCTTCAAGAGGAGGTTAGATAAGCATCTAGCTGGGGTCATCTGAACCCAGCCCTCTTTCCTGCCTATGCAGGGGGTCGGACTCGATGATCTATTGAGGTCCCTTCCGACCCTAGCATCTATGAATCTATGCACCATCTCGACCACCTTCTCTGGGCTCCAGCGCACCCAGCTGCCCACCTGCCGCCTCCCCACACTTTCCCAGGGGCAAGCAGCCTGTTCCCGGCGGCCACAGGCACCTGCTGAAGGTAGCAACGGTGAGGGGTCCAATCCTTTTCTGGGGGGGGCAGAGCCTGCCTGAATCTCCCATGGCTAGAGGGCGAGCTGACAGATTAATGGTTGCAACGTTGTAAACCATAGGCGACATGTATGAGGGACAAGGGGGGGCCCTTACCAGCTGGGAAGTGGGGAGCGCCAACCAATGAACCCCCCCTCCCCCCCACCAAGAAGTGCTGGTGGCACTTCTGGTTTTGCTGGTGGCAGTTCCATGTTGGACAATCAGCAGCTGGGGGACTCTGCCCCCCCCCCCACCCCCAGTCGGCAATCAGCTGCTGGTGCTCCCCCGGAGCCAGGAAGCACCAGTTACCCATGTTGCAACCTAAACTACATTGGGATGTGGTTTAGTTTGTGATGATGCAAACTCATTTAAAACCCCCAAAACTTGTGTATGTGTGAAGTATAATGCCATTAAGCCACACAAAGGGAAATATACGTCACATGTACATGGTAACATCGTCACGTCTACAAGCGCCCCCAGTGTCCAGTTATCTGTATAACTGCCCATTGCAGAAGAGTCTATGGGTGTAGACAGACATGATGCTTAGAATGTTCTAAATACGCTTTACACCCTGAAAAAGCTATGATGCCCATGCCACTTAAGTCCAGCTTAAACTTCCTGGAACATTTCAAAAGCAGACAGGGAAAATCAAGTACTCTTTTAAGTATGAAAGGTTAAATATTTAAAAGTTTAAACAAGAAGTATATTTATACCAGTAACGCATTACCAGTTAACATTTAGGGTGGGGTGCAGTCCGACAGGAAAGGGAAGAAGCACAGTGCCTCAGGAACAGGAAAGCAGCAGGGCAGGCAGGAGGGAGAGGGAGGGGAGGAGAGGGGCAAGGGGTGATGCATACCCATAGCTAGTCTGCTCCCTCTCCTCCCAGTGAATTGGCAGCTGTATCATTTTTTAAGGATATTTACATCCCTAATTTTAAGCCAGTCTGCTTTGTTATGTGTTATGTGTAGACACAGCATTCTGTGCCTAGTGCCTGGTGTTTGAGATCAGTCCTCCAGATATCCCAAACTGCAACACTCTTTAACCCTCCCCCCCGCCAACACATGCCGTGCACGGACCTGCTCTGGACTGTAGCCAGGACTCTATGGTCCAAATCCACTCCCAGCTTATCCCCCTCCCCGACTAGTGAGGTGGGTGGGCACACCACAAGAACAGAAGCAGGAACTGTTTTTGAGTTCCTAGAACAGGTAAGAATCCCACCCCTTGCTCTTGGCACCTATTCCCTTCCCCTCCATCCTCAGCAGCACCTCCCCTCCATCCCCCACCCGCCACTTCTACTGTCCCCCAGCTAATTTGGGGGTAGGGAAGGGCTCCACAGCTTCTCCTGCCCTGCTCTAGCAGCAGCAATTGACACTTTCCTCTGCTCTGCCCAGTCAACTGGGAGGGGAGGACAGTGTCCCTGTTAGCTCAAGAGCAAGTGCATGGAGGGGAAACTTGCCTGCCACGACTGTCCCTGGCTGAAGCAGGGCAGAAATGGCTCTGGAGGCCTCCCCATTCCCCCCGCTACCCTGCCTGTCAGCTAGGATGGCCTCTTTCACCCCGCTACCCTGCCTGTCAGCTAGGATGGCAGCAGTGGCAGGCAGGGGAGGGAGGACTGGGAGGGGAGATATTCTTACCTGCATCAAGGACTGCTGCTCCCATGGCATGGTCCAAAAGGAGGCGTGTGACCATGCCACTGAACCCCCTCTAGATCTGCCCCTGCAAGGTGCTAAGGGGACTTTGTGCCCCACTACTTGTGGTTTCTGGAGGGGTGCATGCTCCAGAGCCCCCTGCAACACTACAACCCTTGCTTTGAAAACTTCACTATCTCCTTGACTTCTCCGATGGAGAACCTGCATTCTGATATGCCACACTCATTTGGGGTGAGGGGGAGGAGTGATGGGGCTGCCACAGGCTTGGGGGGACTCCCGTGTAGCTTGCCTTCCCCTTGCCTCAAATAAACGTAGCACCCCAAAGTGCAGCGTCTTTAGCAAGGAGATAAAAATCAGCAAAAGCGGCTTTCAAGACAGGGGTTGAAAAACTCTGGAGATCTTGGGAGGCCCCCAGAGCATGCAGAATGCACCCACCCCAAAACCATAAGCAGGGGGCCACATAGCCCCTCCGCACCTGGAAACCTATCCAGCCTCCTCCCCCTCCTCCCCCCCCCCCCCCCCCCGGCATGATAGTCTGGGCACTCTACTGCCCCCTGGTTCTGTTTCAGCAGTAGTGCAATCCCTAAAAGGTGAGTATTCTACTTTGAACCCTTCACAGTGTTATGTGTAGACACTTCTGTCCAGGGACAGTTGTGACCCAGTTCCAAATCAGTGACATTCTTGGAACAGGTCAAGCATTATGTCTCTCTGTACCCTAGAAGTCTGGACATTCTTATTCACTAGGTTCTGGGATCTCCCTACAGTCCAAATGAAAGGCGTTATGTGACACAGAGGCATTCTGCTTTAAACTGAAGACACAAGATTCATGCTTCCCTTTCTGCAAGAGGCAAGGAGAGTTGGACTTTGAAATTACTTGTGACAAGAAGACATTCTTTATACCTAATCTTCTAGCTATTTTTCCTTGAGCAAAGAACAGGATTCTGTGCACTGAAGCATTCAGTGCCTAGAAATCTAGAGTGGTAAATTAGGTCTCACATGACCAGCAAAACTAAAAGATACCGAAGTATCTAGTTGCATTTTCTGTTTTCCAAAGTGATTCCTTGTAATGTGCCAACTGCTAATTGGTTTTCCTCTGCAGAGATATTTTACAAAAATTATAATCACAATATATGTCTGATCATTTTTACATAGCAACACTATTTTTTTAGGTGACAGTATAACCACTGGGAGTGCAAACTCCCTGAATGGAAGCAAACTATCTTTGGTATATGCAAGAACACTATTTCAATGTGACAGGGTATTGTGGAGAAAGTCATATAAGTCAATATTTACTATATGCTTTATATTAAATTATTGACTTTGAGGATATTTAACTGTTTTAAAAATAAGATTTTTATGCCAACAGCCAATGCTCTTGGGGAGGGGGGAGGAACTGTTTTAACTTCAAGGCAAACAACCTACACAGTACCAGTATATTTTCATCCCCAAAAGAGAAAAAAAGGTGAAAAATTGTGTTGTATCCTATATCTGCCTACGGTGCGTTTTTCACCTGATGTCACAGCAAAAGCCTCACTTTCTATAGGCAAAGAGAAAAATGCAAATATTGTTCAGATTTGTCAATATAGTAATATTTTATCATTGATGTCTTTACTTTAAAAACATAACTAAAATCCTATTTATAATTCAGTCATCAGAACGTATCAGATTTTACAACTCTCAACTACCCAGCCCACAATTATGATTAATTTTCACTCAGTGCCAGCAAGATCACAGATCTTCC